ATTGGTCCCAACTACCTGGAGTAAAGGAGAGTGAAGAACACCAAAGAGGAAAAGTAAAGGAAAGTAGTAGCCCAAGAGACAGAGAGGGCCACATAAACCAGAGACTTCATCAGCCTGAGACCAGAAGAACTAGATGGTGCCTGGCTACCACCAATGACCACCCTGACAGGGAACACAACAGACAGTCCCGGATGGAGCAGGAGAAAGGTGGGGTGCAGAACTCAAATTCTAGTAAGAAGACCAGACTTAATGGTCTGACTGAGACTGGAGGAAGCCCGGAAAGCATGGCCCCTGGATTCTCTATCAGCCCAGAACTAAAACAATTTCTGAGGCCAACTCTTCAGACAGAGATTGGACTGGACAGTGGGACATAAAATGATACTCGTGAGGAGTGTGCCTGTTAGCTCAAGTAGGTACAAGAGACCAAAGGGGCAGCTTCTGTCCGGAGGTGAGATGGGAAGGCAGATAGGGTTAGGAGCTCGTTGAATGCACATGGGGAATCAGGGACGGAAAGGAGGAGTGTGCTGTTGCAGAATGGGGTGAGCAATTAGGGTCACATAACAATGTAGGTATACAATTTTATATGGGAGACTAAGTTGAAATGTAAACTTCATTTAAACTACAGCAATAAAAAAAAAAAATGGGAAAAAAAAATTAGGAGGTCTGAAAACAGAAATTAAGACCTTGAAAAAAATACAAAAAGACCTAGAGACTCAAATTGCAATTTTAATGTAACAAAATGCCCCCAAATACAAATGTTCCCTAAGGTCATAGAAATTATACAACTCAATCAATGTTATAGTAATTAAGTCTCACAAAAGTAACACCTAAGTGTATTATGTTTATTGTTATAGCCCTAGCATCTAAACAATACCTGATACATAATTTGTGCTCAACAAAAATGTGTTGAATGTAGTTTCTATAGAAGAGTCCTGATCAAAAGGAGTAAAAATGCAGAACAGAATTTTAAATTCTCAAAGGAATCCAGATTTTCTTAAGCCTCTGTGGCTTGGTGAACCCCCAAAACTATTACCCTGAGATAATCTTTAAACTTTAAACCTTAAACCAAAACTATCCTCTTAAGTCTTCTTTGAACCAAAAAATAGCTTATCTTAATTTGTAAAAACATCTGTTTTGAGCATTGGGGTCTTTAAAAGAATTATCTATGTGAGTGAGATCAATCAAATTGACAACAGCAGCTCAAAAGGTTGGGTGGGAAGCTTAGGTGGCAATGAGTTTAAGATAATGTTGGTGGAATAATTTGGAAAAAGTGAGAAGGGTAACACAACTTGAAGAATGTAACCAATGTCACTGAATTGTAAATGTAGCAATTGCTGAAATGGTGTATCTTGCTTGTGTATACTTTCACAAAAACAAAAAATAAATTTCTTTTAATGTGTTGAATGTATGAATAGATTAAAAAATCTAAAGGCTATTAAAACCGAGAGATGGGTCTAAATGAGCGATAAAACCTGTAAAAAGGACAATGGTAAGTTGAGTCTCGACAAGCTGTCAACTGAAAATTCCTGTCAAAGCTGCTTAATAAAAGTGTTGGGTTGATACATCTCATGTCTAGAAAGTTGTAAAACAACTGGAGAAGGTCCAGAGCCAAGCCTGACTTGCTCCAGATTATAGAGAATGACAGCCAGACTTACTGTTTGCATTCCTGTTTCTGCCTTTTGGTGAGCAATTTCCGTTCCAACAAACTCTTCTCATTTTCAATTTACTCTGATATTTATATGTGTAATGATTTAATATCATATCACACCAGCCTGGCCTTCAGGGTGCCCTTGAAGTGTGTTTTTCAGGTTGACCTTTATATACACTGCACACAAACCAGCCAGAAATCATTCGTCTCGACATGAGCTGCTCAGGTAAAAACCATGGTTACACTTCTCTCTCCAGCAACAGCCTCCTTCACAGACTCCATTTAAAAACAGTGCAACCCGCCTTCCCCTCCACCCCCCAACCCCCCAACCTATGTCTTCTGTAAGCTTGTCCAGACATGGAGGCATCATTAGGCCAGGTCTTCCACTCATTCCATGCTTGCAAAGCAATCATTTACAGGCACTTGGTGTTTTGTCTGACATCTGTTTGATGCTGGAGTTCCAGCCTTTGTCTCAATGAATCACTTGTCAGGGAAAGTTGTGGCATTGTAGGCTGGATTTCACACCTTCAGGAAGGGTTTGCCTGTGATATAAATGATCTTAGGCTTTTTGAAATGACCAGTTCCCTTTCTCCCCCTCCCCCAATATCCCAGAGGAAACAGGGAAATGAGGGAGACAAGGAAAGTAATGCTTATCCAAGGTTTTTTCATTTGTGTATTTGCTCTGTACCCATGGGTTTGAGCCAGGCTTTCCTCTCTGGAGACAACACTCCTCTGTGGCTGGAATGTTGCTACTGGAAAGACCCATGCTGAAATATCTGTGTGGAGTATTCTAAGAGTATCAGAAAAAGGAGAGGTTTTTGCACAAGAAAGAAAGGAAGGAGGGAGGAAGGGAGGGAGGGAAGGAGAGAAAGAGGAAGGGAAGGAGAGAGGGAGAGAGTGAGGAAGAAATTTTTGTAGAAGATTAATTTTCTAAAACCATAATTTGATGGCTGTGTCCACTTTGGTCCATTGTTATGGAAACACTTAGTTATCGCAGTGGGGGGCCAGGAGTTAGACTAGGTTATAAACCTGGTTGAGCCTAGCAAGCCATTAAATCTAGGAGTCCCTTTCCTTATCCTCCAAACAGGGTATAAGGGTACTCAACCAGTGACCTCACAAGGTAGATATATATGGTAAGTGAAGTTGCTTTGAAAACCACAAGACCCTTGCTATTTCCTTGTAAAAATTTGATTATTCATATAGAGTGGCCCATAAACACTATGGTTTCCATTCAAAGACTTGAGGAGCAGAGCATGAAAGGGAGGGGGCAAGCTAAGCCTGAGAACACTGTGTAGGTGGCCTTTCTAAACGCAGCAGAGATGGAATGCAAGATGAGAAGACAGAGAAGATCTGACAGAAAATTATGAAGCACTTCTTACTTCACTGTTTTGTAAGGAAATGACAAATGTAAGGAATCTCTTTGGAGAGATTTTTGTGCCTTTTCAATTCTTTGCACTGTTTCACAGAAGGTCACATTATGAAGTAGTTGTCCCAAACACATGAATCTCCAGGGTGGTAAGTCTGAATTTCCAGGTCTGATGAAAAAAGTAGGTAGAAGGACAGTTTTTCATTTCAGATTTTAATTCAAAGAGAATGGGAAAGGGGAGGGGAAATTGATATCCCATCCGAGGCTCCTTTGTCTTACAAGGGATCCTTTTCATGTTCCTAAATTAGTACAGTGGGAGTGGGGTAGGGCGCCAAAACTTGTGCTCATCCGTCACTTCATGCATTTCAGTTTGAAAACATTTAACCCTGAGATGCAAATCATTTAATCATGCTGACTCAGCGGTGACCAAACATTGTGAACCCTTTGGAGCCAGGAATTCCCAACCTGATGTGGTAATGCATTTCACAGTATGAACTTCAGATCTAGTGAACGCAGGCTGAGAGGGGGAGGGCAAGAGGGGAAATCTATAGTCTCCTAAAGTTTCTGCATAACAGAGACAGACCCTCCCTTCCAAACCCATTGAGAATGAGGGATCCCAAAGGGCAACTCCCATTTTCTGCCCCCCCCCCCCACTTTTTACTTTTGGTTTGTGCCATTAGGTCAGAAGGTTAATGAAAATGTACTCTAAAATTATCAAGAGGATGAAGCCAGGCACGATTATTAGATTCCCATTAAAGTCTGAATCTGCAATCTGAACATCAAGAAAATCCCACTTGCTTCAAAATCTTAAACAATTCTGTCCACATTTGCTTGGATAGGTCTGAGATATTTAGTAAGCCTTGGAAACAAGGCTAGGAATGCAGGATGGATCCCAGTTTAGGAATGAGGTGTTGTAAGCTCTGTATGTAGTCAAACAATAAGTGTCAGAATAATGGTTCATTTGGGAACAAACAAGGGCTGGGATTTGAATTTTTTCACCTTCCATTATGTATATTTTTCTTTTTCTCTCTCTTCTTCCATCCATCTATCTTATTTTCCTTTCTCACACTTTTTCTCTTTTCTACAGTATTCTCAGCCTTAAGGCTAGACCTGTAAATACATAGTATTTCCTCTTAAGTCACTTAAAAATATTTGCTTATTTCCTAAGGGTATCACCATTGAAGGAAACCGCTCACTGCACCAAACTCTGCCACTCTTAGTTGTTTTCACAGCAACTATCATGAAATGATGCTTTGACTGAAGGATGTCACTTTACGTTAACATCTGACTCTGCTCACTCATTCTGAAGGATTCACTCCAACGAAAGTCAACTGCTGCTGAAGACAGACCAACTGAAAAAGACACTTTTTTTTTCTTTAAGGTTTTCACAGTGACTTCAAAGGAAATGTGAATTAATCATTTGTTTTGACCCAGGAGCAGCAGAACTTATTTTGAAGACTTAAACAGGCAACACAGATGTAAAGAGAAATCTGGGACCTCCAAACGCGAACACTGAAAGGAGTCAGTCTGAGAACATCAATTCTACTCAGCGTTTATTTTCATTTGAAGATAGTGGAAATCATATCTAAATCACGGACAATACGAGTTCTTCTTGCCTGGCAATTGTCCACATAAGTCTGTTAATCTGTAAGTATAGATACAGTATTTTTTTAATAGAAAGACAGGGCAATATGGCAGTTAATTAGCAACCAATACTGTAAACTACAGTAGATAGAAAGTTTTGTCATATAAATTAATTGCCATTACAAAAAGGCAACTGCTTTAGCTAAGAAGGTACAAAAACTGGTAACTTCCATAAATATAACAAGAAGCTAAGTTAAGAAAAACATAACAGACTGTTTTTCCTATATAATATTTGAATATGCAAGCTAAGACACCTGTGGCACTTTACACGCAAATAGGAATATGACACACGCACGCCCACCCACCCACCCACACCCGTCCAGGGCCCCATACCTCCCCCCATGTGGATTTCCAAAAAAAGGCAAATTCTAGAGTTACAAGGACAGGATGCGGCAAGGAAGCAGCAAGCCGGCGAGCTCCGAACTGCTAGACAAAGAAGGAGCCTTATTGACAGTTGTAAAGCATTAGGCGTCAGACAGAAACTTGTCAAAAACAGCTGTTGTTGGGTACTGATTGATAATGTTTTCATTCTGACGGCTGAGACATTGCAGACAGTCGTGGGTCTGAGAAGAAGCCCATCCCTGCCGCACACATGAACACACACACAGACAACGGGAAGTCATTTAACAGATGGCTTGGAGCACTCAGCCACAGTATCTTAAAAAGACAAGATTCTACATTTAATGAACTTGCAGGGGAAGCAATGCCTAGTAATCATTTACTTTTCATAGATGATGAGCACAACAGGATAAAATAAAAGCAGGGATTAGGTAACTGGTGACTGGAATAAAACTTTTATGTTGCCCACGGATTACAGTGTTAAATAATATTCAAGGACGCAGTAGACAAAGTTGTATACGAATCACTGTGAATCATTATTGATCCATTAACTTTTAAAAAACCTTAAAGAAGGTCCATTTCAACAGTAATGATTTCATTAAAACCCACCTATGAGATTTAAACCACAAAAACTATACTGGAAGGACGTTAAGGGTCTGACATACATCTCCTGTAGGATTAACAAGGTATTATATCACCCTGTACTGAAGTGTGAGTCTGTGATATCTGGGTGTCAGCCTATGTTACCTAAAAATTACAAACATGTTTTTATTGCTCAGGTGTATGGAGCAGTTTTATATCATTTGGCCACTTAGTATTTCATGTGGTCAAAAGTCTACAAAATATGCCAAAGAGTATTTTATCCACAAACCTCAATATCCATAGATTATTCCTGATTTAGAAAAGGTCAAAGGCCTCAAATCTTAGTAAAACCGTACATTTACGGCAATGTAATTTTATCATTTAAATTTACATGAAAAAAAAAATTAGCTCCAAAGGTTGAATCTGGGCCCTAAAATTATTTATTCACTGCAGCTCCTAGTTCATTTTTAAGGGCACACTGAAATCCCTGAAAATAGAGGTTTATAATAGAAATACTGATAGACCTTTAATTACTAGACGGAAGCATTAACAGACTCCATTAAACTACATTAGCACTTAATGAATAAAATACAGATGATTCTGCCTTTGATATCCTTGTCACAATTTGTGCCAGTTTAAACCTTATATCAGTTTAAACTATACTTAGGCTGTGTTTAAAATTTTTATCCATTATTTAAAAAATTATTTCTCTGTTTCAATCAAACACTTAGGATTTTTAGAAAAAGGTACCTATATAATGTTGCTGCTTGACTTTATGCAGGGTAAACTTTCCATTAAAAAATATTTGAGGCCTTGATCAAACAGTAATCAGGGGTGCATGCACTGTGCCTATATTTCCTCTAACACCTCTCCAAAAACAAAAATGTCTTTGCTCTTAAAAGAGGGAGAGGGCTCTTCAGATGTAATCAAGGAAACGTGATGCGTCTTGTGTCTAAATTCGTCAAAGTTAATCCTACTAGGGCAGGATATTCTTTCCTGATAAGGTGATTAAATGAAGTTTTTGGTGCTCATTTTTGTCTCATCGTCTATAAGGTCAGTATACAAAAAACTAAAAAATAAAATAAAAAACCCAAGAGATCTTGAAAATGATACACATATTGTGTGGCACTCCAGCCACAGGACACTCCATCCCCGAGCCCAGGGAATATTAGTCAAGGTCTTGTGAGTCTTTTGGAGTCCTTCATAAGGGATTTGATTTTCCGTGAGCCATGAATTCCATCCTTTTTAGCACAGAGTATGTAAGAGATGCTTAGAACAACAGAAGGAAGAGACATGCGGTGAAGATAATTAGTGGTAAACAGAATAAATTCTCTCTCAGTAGTGTGTACTTGACGTTAATGCCGATGATAATTCACCTGATTTACAGAATATTCACTTTAATAGAGAGATGAGAGTCTGAGTTAACTAGAGAAAAACAGATACTGAAGCCATTATAGTCTTGATACCAAAATAAAATTAAAATGAGAAACTAACACGATAGGCTCAAGGCCTTTTTGGAACCCGTTTTCTTTGACAGATTTCACATTCTGACAGCTTCCTGGTCTTTTTCTTCTAACAAATTTATCAGCTGAGAGAAGCTGTCTTTCAGTGTGTCCATGTTGTCCAGAGAGCAGGGCTGCAGAATCCAGCGTTTTCCACGTGCAAGTGGTTCCAGTTCGAAATATTTTTTGACCTTCAGGAAACACAAAAAAAGATAAATATGTTATTAATTATATCAGAACCATTCTCATACCAAAATTTTGAGAGTGGTGAAGTGGAGGATTTCATGGAGAATTTATATGAACTAGGATGCCTAAGACCTTCTAGAATCCCATCCACAGCTGTTGTTATAATGTGGGTTATATGTTGTGACCCGGGAGTGTTTTCTTTAGGGGTGAATGACTCGCTTGCAAGCCACCACTCTGCCCCTACACTTAACAGCATGGGAGGTCTGATGAAGGCTAAGAAAGAATTACATGCACTTATGGCACAGGGCAAAGTAGACTGCAGACACCAAAAAGATTCAATTCAATCAAAATACCTCTAGCAGAGCAGCTCTCGCTCATCATCCTGCTGACTTATGTACCCTATCTTATGCTGACAGTATGTACCCTATCAATTATTCAGCACTCAACTATTTTCACCAGTAAGCACGTAATGCAACCAAAAATCTCACTTAAACAATCTTTTTCTCTCTCTCCCTTAAATTTTTGGTATCTATTTCTGACAACTGGGAAAGACAGTAGAAACTGAGTGCATGTGTATATATACATATACAAACTTACATAAATATACATGCATACATAAAATCTCCCAGCTTTTTTTCTCCTTCCTGTCCTGAATTTTTAGGGAAAAAAAGATCAAGACCTTACAACTGGTATGTGGGGTGAAGCATTTGCTACCTTAAAAATTGGTTTGCTCAAAGAGTGAACCCCAACGTAAACTATGGACTTTAGCTAATAATTATTGGTTCATCAATTGTAACAAATGTACTACACTAATGAAAAATGTCAACAAAAGGGGAAACTTGGGAGGAGGGTACTATGGGAACTCTGTACTCTCTGCAGAGTCCTGGTGGTGCAGTGGTTAAGAGCTATGGCTGTTAACCAAGACATTCGCAGTTCGAATCCACCAGCAGCTCCTTGGAAACCCCATGGGGCAGTTCTACTCTGTCCTACAGGGTTGCCATGAGTCGGAATCGACTCAATGGCATTGGATTTGGTTTTTTTAATTTGATTCTTTCTGCTCAATTGTTCTGTAAACCTAAAACTGTTCTAAAAAAATAAAGGTCTATTAATTAAAAAAAAAAAAATGATTAATAACCAATTACAAGTCACTCAATGTATTGGCTAGTATTGTCAACCATTGACTGCTAATAAACACCAAATTGTTACCACTTCCAGAAGTATTGGTGGCCTTCTCCAAATGGCACGATAAAGTACCAAGTTCATGAAGCTGTTTCACTTCACATACACTACATCACACAAGAATAGAACATTGTATTTTAGCCCAGCAATGTTTTACATAACATAGTGAGTAGAGAAGAAGCATTACTCAAAGACATTCATGGTCAACAAATTTCCTTAAATCCCATGTGCCATGGAAAAATTCCAACATCTTATCTTAGTCAATATTCAATCCAGAAAAAACAAGTGTCTGAGCCACACGCCATTCTCAAATGTGGTTTCATTTTGCCTTTATCATTACGAGCACCAGACTATTGTTAACATCAGAGATACATCATCCAAAATGGTTTTAAGTGTGTATATATATTTTCATATGAACAAGAAGATATATGTAAGAAATAGTAAGTTTTTAAATTAAGCTAATTTAGGAACCACAAATATGCTAAAACTTTAAAATTCAAGTGTGTTTAAAAAGTTCTCCTATAGATGTTTGCAATTTCAAAATAAACACCAATTCAACAAAACAAACTCAGAAGCCTGTGAGAATTGAAGGACCCTCATTAATTTTGATTCTGAAAAGTAATGAAAATCTCATGCATAGATCAGAAAAAGAGGACAAAACTTCAGAACAATTTTTGCTCAAGGTTTTTTAACAAAGTATGTTGTTAAGCGGATTCTCTCTTATGGAAAATACAAACCCTGTCCCTTTGGTTTCTTTTCTGTAGGGCACCCCAAACAATTTGCATTTGAGAGAACCTGAAATTGCTTGTACAATGCCCAGGACCAGGGGGTCAGCCCTGCCCAAAGAGGAGCTGCCAAGCAGCAGAGCGAGGAAGCCGTCAGCCAGCAGGGGGAGAGAAGAGTTGGTAGGAGCGACAGGTAGGGAAGACTGTTTAAATCTACAGCTGCTTAGGAGTTGCTGCTGGCAAGAGTTTACAATCAGAGATATTAGCCTCCTTGCTTCTCCCACAAACTGAGGCTTCAGCTGGCACCACCGAATGCAGAAATGGGTGACTCCATGCTTACGATGCAGTCTGGTATCTGATCAACACTGCCTCCCATCATGAGAGGGACGGCATGTGATATCCAAAGTCTGGCACATGAAGGAAGTTATAGCCGTGACAACATTTTATATCCTCAAATCCAAAAGGACCGTATTTTAAGTACTGCGAATAACTGGGAAGAGGGCCTGTGGCAAGAAATGAAATAATATTAAAATAAAGAAGAAGCTGAAGACAGTAAGGTTATCTCACTAACAATACTTCCTCCAAATGCCTCATTTTAAAAATGACACTGAATCGATCCTGGTAGCATATTTACAGCTAATTTGAAAGCAATATTAGATTTAAATAAGCACAAAACATAATTTGTGATATTTTGCAATATTGACCAGACACAAACAACATGGAGGTTTAGCTACCTATTATGCTGGTTTCTAGGCAACTGAAAATATAGTCTATCATGTAGGCACCCTTGGAAGGTAATAAAGATGTCAGATGGTAGCTATGTTTCCGTAGTTGCTCCTGCTGAATATTAAACATGAGAAGGAAATGGAAGCTGCGATTTCAGGGTGGTCACCAGATAAAGGAGCCTCGTGGTGTTAAGCTCACAACCATGGCTGGGTAACTTGAGATCTTCAGATCTGTAACCTAAGTGAGCATCAAACCCTGCCATATCTACCCTACCGGTATCCAAATGATTCCACAGCACTCTACGTTTATAATATCGATTCTAAAACCATTGTTGGCATTACAGTGATATCCAAGCACAATGAGTGGCTGCATTTGCGCCAGAAATAGCTTTTCATTACTCAGGGTTTCATGTTTCCACAAAACAAAGACTACAAGGCAAGGGAGGCAAGATGAAGACTTAATGCTCTGACTTCGACTTCTTTTTTGTAACATTTTATTTTGTTTTCTTATATTAACCTGAAATTTGAATTTTACTTCCCCTGTGTTATAATAAAAATTATTCACAGTCATGTTTTGACTTGCCCATCATTGCTATTTTACCCTTCTATATGGTGACATATAACTTTAAAGAATGGTGTTAAGTTTGACCAACATAAATCAATTGCTTACATCTGATACTGTTTTTAAGGTTACAAAACAAAACAAAACAAAAACCAACTGCCTGCGATACAAGGATCTTTTTTATGTCGGCCATAATTTTTTTAAAGCTCTCTCTTACCAAGATAAAAATTTAAAAAATGACATAAGAGAAAATGAACCTAAGTCTTTTGAATACTTTGTCAGCTGCTTAAATGTCATGGTTAACTGGAAACTGCTGGAATAAGGAGACAATGATTGTTCCACATTGGCTTCTGGAGATGGCACTTGGGGGAATGACATCAGAATACAGCTGCCTGGCAACCTGTGGTCATTTAGCTATTTTCAGGAATGCCACAGAGAGTGGGCATTTCTTAGTTGCCACATGTCCACCCTAGAGATAGGAAAACAAAGCCACCATAAGTAGCCAACCTATTTTAGCTACGTCACCAGAGCCCTTCTTTACTCATGCAACCGTGAGTGATTTGCATTACTGCATTCTGTTATTTACACATTGCATTTACTGTAAAGCTCCAATATAACAGAGAAGGATCAGTATCATCTCATTGCAACTAATGTTAGTAGCAGCTGTTAAACCTGCGAGACATTACATAGCAGAGACGACCCACTCATGGTTAGGAGATGTCCTTTACGTTTCCTTGAGTAGAGAAATAATGAAAACAATCCCTTTCTAGTTTCAGGATCGATAATGTGGTTGCCATGACACTCGCAGATTTCCCTGTCTTGCCCTCATTTCAGTTAAAAAAGTTTACTTTCAATTGTTACAAACCTGTTGTGATTAAATATCTAGAAGTCACCTAAATTGTTCGGAACTGCATTGATAGGTCTTTCCTTTTTAAAAGCCTGTAAATCTCATTTTATTTATAATGTAAATGTTCTTGTTTTTTCTATTTTTATTATTAAAGCATGTAAGTAATCTGTGCTCAGAGCTGGCCTAATTTTCCTCTAAGCACTCTGGGGAGCAGGGGTATAGATAGTCCAGAAGGGACACACTTAGTGTGTTCTTATGTAAAATAGAGTTAGGTTCTGAGCACAGATATTTACAATCAGAGCTCTGACCCACATGAATGTATGGCAAGACATTAAAAAGGGAGTTAGGATGTGTGGCAATTCTTCATTGTGTAGGACTGTGTGATGCATCATGGAAATCTGTCACCTCTGGTTCTGGTACACTAAATGCCATTAGCACCAACCAGTCATTGTTATAACTAAAAATGTGCCACTCCCCAACTCAATCTCCAAACACCACCTAAGGGTGGTCCTACCGCTGTTGAGAACTGCTGCTGTAGCCCATGTCAAATGCAGGTCACTCTTGCCCATGTCAGGGGCTATTAGCTTATTTTTCTACACATTCACTACCAGTGATAGAAGCTGAATATTTGCTTTGCCCATACTTCCCTAGGTCCCCATCTACATACGACACACACACTTGTGTGAAAAATTAGGAGATTATAATGGACCCCTCTCAAAGCTTGCAGAATGGTAGCGGCGGGTTGTGGTAGGATCAGGATCAGTATAGGGAGCTTTGGAAATTCTCATCCTGAAAGTTGGCTCCCACAAAATCACTCATTCAACTGACATTTCTTGAGCTGAGATGGAGAGCAGGTGAAGGCAGCATAAGCGGGCTTGAATGAGTGCCTGTGCCCACGCTCCATTTGCCAACATATGGGGGCCCATTGATTACAGCAGAGCACTGTAAAGCAAAACCTAAATCAAAA